TGCATATACTGTAAACAAGCCTTTTTGAATCGGAGGGCTGAGTGGCTGCTCAGGCCCAGGAACCAATAGCAGAGTGGTTTACTGTGATGACTCAGGGCATAGCTGAGGAAATGGGATGGTGAGGGCAGGGAATGTGTGTGTGTGTGTGTGTTCGAAGAGTGAATGCCTAAAGAAACAGACTACTGTTAGAGAAAAAACATTCATTTGTCTTTAACTACACACATCATGGCCCTGCTCTCCAGGCCCCACCTGCCCCGAAACTGAATTCCAGCACCATCAGGAGCTCCATCTTCCTGTCCTCAGTTGTCAGTATTTGTACATATGTTTAAGTATAAACCTATGGTACATGTACATAAAAAGTATATACAAATTACCATAGAGTTGAATCAAAGCATCTCACTGACACAGTATCAGCACAAAATTAAAATTTGGATGTATTTCAAGACTGCTGTAATGGATTGCAGTAAAGTGTACAGCCATACCTATCTGACTTCTAACTCAGTTTACACTGATAGCACCTCTGTGGCTCTTACTGGAAACCACCTATCACCTTCTCTTCCCCAGAACAAGCAACAAACCTGGGTTGGTTTGACACATTGTCATTCATTAATTCTTTGCATAATTGTTCCAGGTAACAATGGTGCAGAAGCTTGGCTTTCTAAATCTATTCAACATGCTGCCTTTAACTCTCCCAATGTGTTTATCAGAATGGCTTGGGACTAGTGACTCCTGGCTCCTCAAGTGAGAAAGGTGTTGTGGAAAAAAACGTCTTTAACAGCAACAAACATGACAGAACTCACCCATAGAGAGTTGTGGTGGATGTCATGTGTGTCTGTGCTGTGTAAGTAAAAAAAAAGGAGGTGGGGCGGGGGGAAGAGAACCTAGTCATATGTATATTCATGGGTCTCACATGCAAGTTTCAGGGAGGATTAGATGAAAAGCATCTGTTCTGATTACACATATACACATACACCCACATTGAAAGTCTGTCTTGAGATGGTACAAGATGGTACTCAGAATCAGGGACTGCATACTTTGTGTTATCTTTTGCTAAGCAGACAGTTCAGATATTTTGTATGGACAGAGTTCACCACAGGTTTAAGGCATATATGAGCAAAACAAAATTTTCCATTACAAATGACCTACCCACTGCAGCCAAAGCAGAAAATTCACCCCTCATATTCTGTTAGAGAAAACTATTATCACAAAAACCTCTCCTGAGTGTTTTCTCCTCTGTACTCTTTCTACAGCTCTCAATAGAATTGTTTCTCCCTAAAAATCCCCTCTGTAGTTTGTACTGCTGTTGAATTATGTTGCACCACACTGAGCAATGTTCCATGGCTGTTTCACAGTATGTCCATCCCGTTTATCAGTGAGGGTGGAGTAAATAATAGAAGCACCTCTAAGTACAAACTGCATTCTTCACAATGATCAGAGAGTGGGATCAATACCTAAAATAGAATAGAACAGAATATATTTATTGTCATTGCACTGAAAACAATACAACGAAATTTAAAAAACAGCTTTCTTAGGCTTGACTTGAGTGCAAGTCAAGCCTAAGAGAGAGTCAGACTTGTTTCCAGTGCATGTTGGACTCCGGCAGGGCTGCCCTTTGTCACTGGTTCTGTTCATTATTTTTATGGACAGAATTTCTAGGTGCAGCCAGGGGCCGGAGGGAGTCGGGTTTGGGGACCACAGGATCTCGTCTCTGCTTTTTGCAGACAACGTTGTCCTGTTGGCCCCATCAAACCAGGACCTCCAGCATGCACTGGGGCGGTTTGCAGCCGAGTGTGAA